GTAATTGTCCTTCATCCCCCTCGTCGACTTATAATAATACCTAATGAGATATATCAGCTATCTTATCGCTCCCTCGTCGAGTCTTGGCCAGTCGAGTTCTAACTCATCGAGTTTTGGCTCATCGAGTCTTCCCTAGTCGAGTCTTGTCTCGTCGAGCCTTGTCTCGTCCAGTCTTTTCTCGTCGAGTCTTTCCTTGTCCAGTCTCGATTATTCGACTTCGATGTGTTCCGGATACTCTCGTCGGGTTCACGACTCCTATAATCAAGTCGAATGTGGGAAATACCACGTTCGAAAACTCCCTACACCACAACAGTGACAAATCGTTATAATACTCATTATATATACAGAATGACACGGTGGGTGTGTAGACCCGAGCTAAAAGGGACAGTGACTATAACGGGGATTACACGTCGGTTGACAACCGGTATAAAAGGGTGGTACACACTTGGGGTGGTACCCCATTAATAATGATATCGAAATACCTTATCAGTATGTAGGGGCTGACGTGTGTCAGCCATAGGAAAAAGATCTTAAAAAGGGTACCGATGGAGGGTAGTAGTGTCTAGAATAGGTAGGTGAGCGTAAGGTGTCCCTTTACATTATAGGAAATGAAGTCAAGTTCTCCTTTTGATGTGTTAGAGACACGTGCCTTGCTACAACGTCTTAGGTCTTGTAGGAGAAGTCAAGCCTTGTTCGGGCGAGGACTATTGAGCGCTGTGTGCTGTTGATTCGTTGAAATGTTAGATCCCTTGTAGAAAGACCTTGAGCTTTACGCTTGTTGACTCGGAGAGTTGATTTATCTAAGTTGCTCGTTAAGCAGAAAGCCTTCTTCTGGTAAAGAGCTATAGTAGCTCTGCTACAGTGTCATGTCGTTGGAATTCTAGTTATACCGAATAGACAGCAAGAAATAGAAATTACTACTACAGCCCACGTTTCATCACCTTTTGATGTCCTCATGACTCAGAGATGAATGCTGCATACGCGCTAGGAATGCGTCGAGGCTGATAATTTTCAAGCTTGAATACGATATTCGTAGACGCCCTCAAAGCATTACAGCTTGCTCGTCGCAATACTCACTTCATAACAGTCGATAACTGAAGCTGGAAATGGCAAGATCGCACGAGTAAGTGCGTTTGTTGGTAATACATCCAGTTGTTATCGTTTTGCATGTCTTGAAAGCGAAGCTGCTTGGACACTGTCCATGAATTGGAGAAGTGATCCGTTCTCCTACGCCCCTCCTTTTAGCACAAGTAACACTCATCCCATCTGACAGCAGACATTGCACTGACCATCCACTTAGCCATCAAACACCGTCCACGCGTCGACGTTTCACATTTTTTCTCATGTACATATCAACAGCAAGATGCTTATCTATCATGGCAACGAAGAGGCGATCAGCGCTCGATTCACCTGGTTGTAGTGAGCACTACATACGAGTGTGCAGACTACATACTGGATTACTTTATTTGCTGCTACTTCACGTGGGCATGAATGAGCTACAATCGCACGTTTTACTTTCAGTATGGTCTCGATTATGATCGATGCTCTAGGATTACAGCATGATCGTCATGTGGCGCCGATCTATTGACTGCTCTTACAACTTCCTGACAGAACCATCTCTTACGAACAAGCGTCATTGCTAATTGCGCACAATATTCGATGAAAGCCACAAGCGGACCAGTAGGTACTTCACTTCTCTGTCGCGACAACGCGGCCCCATACACATGTTTTGCCTACCCAGACATACCAACGAAAGGCGGTATCAAAGCCTGTTCATTGTGCTGGTATTTTGGCGCCAATCTTGTCGCAAGTGACTCAAACACATTCACGCAACCGCCCCCAACAAAAGAAAACGCTTTTCGTACGCTCTGACGATCGTCGTTGTTGTACGATCGCGATCACACCGGCACTTTGAAAGATTCGCTTGATCCCTGGAGAGGCGGAGACGCTCATGGGCACTGACTTGCGCCCGTGTACAACGGACGACCTCCCTGTACTGTCTACTTTACGCCAGCAATATAGTCAGACCGTCAGAGCATCGTGCGCTGACCTGTACGATGAACCGTTTATGTTCTATAATATTATGAAATTTTTAAATATTTGTTAGCTTAAAAAGTCTTGTACATCGCACTGTCGTCCGCGTGTCTTGGACATCTGTCGTGTTGACCGTTCAACAGTCCTAAGATGTTGCATGCGTCGTGTCATTGTTTTAAGCGTGAAACGGCAGGTGGTAGTCACACAATCTGGAAGTCGCAAGTCCTGTGCCCGGACACTGCGAACAACAGCTGCTGGAATCTGTAACAATCCCCCACCCTCTCCAAAGCGCCATTCTACACGGCTTTCTGCTAAAACGTGACCGTGGTTCGTGCTGGACCACGGGCCTTGTTCACGGGTCTTACGACAGCTGCGGTTGTCGGCTCGTCAGTTTTTCCAGCACTTGTCTATTCTTGGTAAAGCTAGCCCACTAATACCGAGCAGGCCACGATTTGGTCTCTCGTAAAAGCTGTAGAGCGTTCATGCATATAATCTACCACATCTTGCGCGTGAAAGGAAGGTATGACCGCCAACTAGATGTGGCTACTGCTCACGTCGAGCGCATGCTGGATGTATGCAGCTAGGCATCGAAGTTTGGGCAAAGTGCAGAAGGTCACTTACCGACCGTCTTTTGCTTGCGGGCATTTCTGCCATCATGGTGTGTACTTTCCACGTCGGCTTGGTTGCTGGTGCAGCAATCCTCGCAAACATGTAGACGAAGGAGACGACCGCCTCGTCGATCTACTCTTGCTCACGACTGCCGCAAGTGTCGCGTCAACATTGTTGCAACAAGATCGTTGTTTACGGTGAGGTCGAGCAGGATTACACACAGACGAGACCAACCACAAGCGTGAGAGCCGCACCCGACAAGATGTCGACAAGGTGAAGCCCTTCTTGGGTACCGAGATAGTGATGACGTGGACCGATCTTATCGCCGTGGGTGCGTCGGTGCGCTTTCGTGCATTTCCCAGGGTCCTGATGACGGCATGGCATTTGCGGATAACCAAACATTGTCAGAGGTAGAGGCAGTCGAAGTTTGCCGAGGAGTTCGCCACGGCATTCGGCTCGTGTGTGACAGCCTACACGAACCACACATTCAGGAGATGCACGACCGGAGATACGTCCCACTGTTGAGTAACATACAATGGTGCTACTTGTTGGTCCGAGGATGGTAAGTGACTGATTACAGTCGTGGAAGCTTGCGCCCCTGTGCACAAGAGATGTTCGCTTTTGTGGTAGATAGGATGCTTTGGATGCGTATTGTTATCGCTCTCACATTACAATGATTCAGCATGTGCGATCGTCCACGTCGTCGACGCTTAACTAACCGCCTCGGAAAGCTGGCATTTCGTTGTGCTGTGCGTGACAAGCAGCAACTTAGAGGGGCTTGGTCCAAACTCTGATTGCACATTATTGCACAAACATCGATAGCTCATGGCCGAAGAAGCCACGTCCTGTAGATGACCCTCTGCTTGTGTGGGGTAAATGTAATAATGCCAAGACGGCGGCCGTTTTTCTTGCCTACAGCTTTGTGAACTTTATTTCGAGACATCATGCCGTCGGTTTTGCATGCGCCTGCATCCTACATGGTGTAGCTGTCAGCGTCTAGAGCAACAGTGCATACAGTCATTGCGCTGCACGCTTTTGCCGATCAAAGACATCTTTACACACTAATTTCGTCTGCATTTTTGCTCATCAAAGACGATGAAGATGTTTCTACGCCGTCAATGGTTTTCTTACGAAAGGCCGACGACCTGATCCACTCGCTGCAACGGCAGAGAGGATCAGGTCGTCGGCCTTTCGTAAGAAAACCATTGACGGCGTAGGAACATACGAGTCTACAATTCACCTGTGCTGCTCGTCTAGCCATAGCGAAACTGCTAGTAGACGAACGAACGATTGAGCGACGTGTCTCTGCACGCCAATCGGTGCTCACACGTGTCCGTGCCGACTCTACAGCGTCGTCGGTGGTATACATTTCGCGTATGTGTCTGCTGTCAAGAACGCTTGACCTGGACCGAAAGAGTCGCCGACACGTAACCACGAAGGTAAATTGTTGCATGTTGTTGTGTTGTCTTCTTCTTCCCCTTGCATGTCCTAACCGACCCCGGTGGCCGAGTGGCATTGCACTAGAACCGAGACCGGGAGGTACGTGGATTGATACCCGCGCCGGGGCGGTACGATGACACGTCGCCGGAGAGTGGCTAACAAAGCCGGATGCAGTGGGTCGTTTGCGTAGCCGAATATATCTCAAACCTTCTCTCGCCTCCCCTTACATGTCCCAAGCTTGCTCCTCCTTCTGAACAAAACCGCTAGCCTCGTATCGCACTTGCCTTCTCTTGGAAACAAGTATAGGAACTCGATTGCATAAACACTTGCTGTGCTCGACGAGGAGTGTTTCGGGGGGATTGATCCAACAAGACTGCCCCGCGGTAGCGGTCACTGCTTTCGAGCTGTAAAGGTCCTGCAACCGAAGCTCTCTTGGGCTGTGGTTTACGGGCAGACGTCATGCATGCATTGTTTATATACGAGGACAAGCAGAGTCGAGCAGTCTATGTCTCAACGGCCTGTTGCACGCTTTTTGCTCAAGCGTTGCATTGTAATCGTGACTTGTGGTACGCTCGGCTTATCGCGTCTGCAAGCCAATGAACAAGACACGATGCCACAAGCTGTGGTATAGCCGAGCACCAGCTGCGACGACTACAGTTACTTCCACGGCACGGGATATCCCTGCGACACCTCGAGATAGACCTCTTTCCCGCACGAACCACGCGAACATGAGGTCCACGAGTTTCGAGTACAATCAGACGTAAGCACGAAAAAGTCAGTCATGTGCACCGCTAGCGAGGAGGTCCCCTCGTGGATGAGACCTTCGCGCTCAAAGTATTGCTTCGACAAGGGGAGATGAAACAACAGTTTTCATTTCGCCGGACAATTCCGAGGCAACACTACCTATCTGAGCCCTAATGAGAACTCGCACCGCTCTCAACGTCGCATTGGTGTGTACGAGCGCCTTGACGTCTGTCTCGTTGGCCAAGTCTGCTGGTTTCAGGGCTTTGGTCAAGAATTTCTTCACGGATGACGACGCCACCGAAGCACAAGAAGCAACGAAGTACGTAGACGACCGCACGTGTGAGTACAACTGGTTGTCTTTGAGCTGCAAGCCGAAAGACAAGTGCTCTATCCAGTACCAATTCGGTGACGTGACGCCCTCCCAAGCCTGCCGAGTGACAGACAACAGCGACCACTCCCGCGACCCGCAGCAATTTCACTTGGCGTTCGCCGGCGAGAAGCCTGGCACCGGTATGACGATCTCCTGGACTACGTATGGTCCCGTGGACGATCCTGCTGTGTGGATTGGGTCGAGCAAAAGCAACGTCGCGCGGGTGAAGACTGCTAAGATTGAAGTGAAGCAGTACTTCAAGACGGAAGACTACACTTTGTTCAGCCACCACGCCGTTGTGACGGATCTCAAGCCAAAAACCGAGTACTTTTACAAGGTGGGCAGTGCTTCGAATGCGAAGTTCCAGAGTGCTGTGAGTTCGTTCACGACGGCTCGGACTAGTGATGACAAAAGTCCGTTCGTTGTTGCAATCTATGGAGACCTGGGCACGGAAGTGAACTCCATTGCAACGAACAAGTACATCAACGGCTTGGACGGCAAGGTCGACTTTATCTACCACCTCGGCGATATCTCGTACGCCGACAACGATTTCTTGACGGGCAGGACCGCGTTCGGCTTCTTTTATGAGGAGGTCTGGAACAAGTTCATGAACTCGCTCACCTCTGTCATGCGTCGCATGCCGTACATGGTCGTCGTTGGCAACCATGAGGCCGAGTGCCACTCGCCAACGTGTATATTGTCAACGTCCATGAAGAATCAGCTGGGCAACTACAGCGCCTTTAACTCGCGCTTTCGCATGCCGTCGCCGGAGAGCGGTGGCGCACTTAGCATGTGGTACTCCTTCGACTATGCGTCTGTGCACTTTACGACCCTCTCGTCCGAGACCGACTTCCCGAATGCACCGACAAATGCTTACTACACGCAGCGAACGTACGGGAATTTCGGTAACCAGTTGGCGTGGCTGGAGGCCGATCTGAAGGCTGCCCACGCCAACCGTGCCAAAGTGCCCTGGATTGTTGTCGGCATGCACCGTCCTATCTACACGTTGCGGTCATGCGATGCAAACGGTGTGCCGAACGACAAGTTCGAGGCACTAAAAGTGCAACTGGCATTTGAGAAGCTCCTGATCAAGTACAAAGTGGATATCGTCTTCAGCGGCCACGTGCATTCATACGAGCGACTGTTCCCGACAGCTAACAGTAAACCGGTCATGGAGGGAGTGTCAAAGGATGGCAAGACGTACACGAATCCAAAGGCTCCCGTCTATGTTGTTGCGGGCTCCGCTGGCAACTCCGAAGGTTTGTTTCAGTACAAACAGCCTCCGTCGCCAAAGTGGTTGGCTCTGCGGGACACGAACCACTTTGGCACTACGACCATTACCGTCACTCGGTCGACGCTTACGGTAACGTTCATTGAGTCTGCCACGGAGAAAGTGTACGACGAGTTCAACATCGTCAAGGACCTCCCGGGAGAATGACTCGGGTGACTGAATAGTCAGTCGTAACGCTGACTTTGATCGTAATATCGTTACTCAGTATACATTAAACGTTGTGAGCTGTCTGGTGTCTTTATTGCACAAGTGCGTACATCAGTTTGCGTGACAGCGCCAAAGAACGAGAAGTAACGTGTGTATCAACGCGCCGTCCGCGTCTATCTCTAGACCGCTCGACTGTATGTACATGCTGTGAATCCATGATTGTTAGTGCTGCATTAGGCAATACAACAAACAAACAAAGACGTTGAGGGCGGTCGTCGCGACGTTGCCGTCCTCGATCGAATGCAGAGGTCCTGAAACGTCACCACCTGATGACGCACGTTGCGCGACGTCAAAACGACAACAGTATCCAGCATCGCCGCGTACCCACGAGACATGTGCGCTCGGCGTGGCCGTCTCTGAGCTGTGCAAAGCGCTGCATTCACCATTTAGCTTTGCATGCGTGTCGAAACGAGCAAACCTGTTAGCAATGTGAGCCGCTTCTCGGTACGGCCATGCACTAGATCGGTCGTCTACCAGCCATTTAAAGGACGTGGCCGTTCCAAGCAAACTACTGGAAGGGATTTTCCTAGTGTTGCTGTTCGACTCGAGTGTATTGGGCTTGTTGGCGAACGCCTGTCGTTTGCTGGGCGCCGATCGTAAGCTGCCCAGTTTATACAGTCAACGTGTTGCGTGAAGATACTGGAGCAGCAGTGTCGATGGCGTGTCCAGAGACGTTTCGAATGGCTTTGCTATCGTGCGGCCACTTGTTCCATACCATATCATACGGTGACTAAATTTGTCCGCTGCATGCTCTACCGCATGACTGACTCTACTTGATGGCAAGCGCAAGTCCAGTCATATAAGCGCCTGGAACGGTAACAGATTTATGAGTGCTTTGTACAGAAAAGTGCGAGCCGACAAAGAAATGGGGGTTTTCTCAAGTAGCATGATAAATATGCAAAATACACTAAAATGATCGAGCGCGCTCATCACGTCTTTAGGGAAAAAATACCGAGTTAAGCAAAGTTGGATAGTTGTGTGGTGTACACATAGTTTCCCGTTGCCCTTGGTCCGTTGGCTTTTTGTATTTATACGGCCTGCATCTTGTCAGTTCAAATAATTTGAGCAAGTAGAGAGCACATCAGATGTCTCTTGAGATAAACACCTATAAGGGCAATAAATGCTTTATTTGATATATGGTCTTTGGAAGTCTATGCTGTGCTGAAAAGTGGGAGTGTCTTCCCCAGCGATGCAACAATGATCATTACGTCAGCTTGTTCACACGGCCACAATACGAAGTATCCAAATGCTCAACTCCGCACACTTACCTAATTTTGCTCCACATTACACAAACGACAAAGAGCAAGTTTGTCGATTATAACAGGTAGCGACGACAAAGTAGCTCCTATTGCGTCAATGTGGATTTGAAGAGCTGCAGGTCGAATAGGATCGATTCTTAATGGGCAAAGGCCAACTTCACGAGGCCCGTAAGAAGCATCAGTGTGGTCAAGATAAGACCGTGTGCTCTTTCAAGAAAGGAACCAATTTGGATACGGCAACTCGTCCGATCAAACAGTGTCTTGAGTGCATTTGAAGGAAAAGCAAGTAGCGTCTTCGACCAAGGGCCGTGCATATAAGATGGCGTTTCGATGTCATTCATTCATTACCGGATCTTGGGCGAAAGATGCGTGATGGCATACTGCAGCGGTATTTAAGCACTGTTGTATTCATATACCGTCGTAAACATGAGCTACAAAGGATGCAGTAATGGTCCGCGCGATCGTTTTGATACCGTCTCAATACAGCACATGTGCCGGGGTTATGATTATCATACCAGTCGGTACTCATCGAGACATGGTAGACTGGAGCAAGAAACGTTGCTGGTACAAACTAAAACTTGGTGCATGTGTGACGATCACTCGTGGCGAGACGGTCAGGACAAGGCAAGTCGTCACGAACGATTGCTTGGCGACAAACTCAACCCACGATCGATTGTTCCATCATGACAAGTTGAAGAGGGCCAACGATACGATGGACAGGATGTTGTGTACGCAAGCTATGGGAATGGCAAGAGCGAGCAAATCATCATTTGCTTATGAATAACCTCAGACGCACTATGCGCTAGCGTCGGATGCGCTGTACACTCAGCAAATGCAAACGACACTGGCGCGGACATGCGTGCTATAGCAAGAGCGCACAGCCACATCCTTTCTTACTGCGCAGATCACGCTTCGCTCTATTGTGCATCGTGGCCTCTTGTAGGCAGTGGCGATACGTGTGAACTCGGCGGCGTCAGCATACCTATCGGCCAGCAAATGTTGGGGTCAGGTGGTCATACATACGTTGATTTCTCGCGTCAAGGTCAACCATACGCCTTCGTCAATCAAAAAAGTGGTGCACCTTTTGAGCATTTGCCACACTGTTTCAGCTTCTGTCACAGTATGCGGCACAACGTGGTCACGCTGCTACATCGATCTACGATGGAGTCGATCACTGCATGCAAGACAGAAGCTGTTCAGTACGCTTTCGGTCGAAGACCAGAGCGGTGGGCACCGCGTGATTCTTTCGACGCTGTCGTGGAGCTGTGTTTCCCTACTACTACGGTCGAGGCAGGTGTTGCAGGTAGACGATTGCAGCACGATCAGTGGGTGTGAGTGAATGGTCATCGCTCGTGCACTGAATCTGGACACACTCACACTTCACTACCCACGAAACTATTGAGCTCAACAACCGCATATCTCTAACGACGAAATGAAACACAGGAAGACCTCCTTCTACCACGGGTCAACTACTTGGTGTCACGCCAGTCTCGCACAACAAAACAAAGATGCAACACCAGCAAACCTTGACGCATACGTCGTCGTGTTCGAAGGCCAAGACCACACGACTTATTGTAACGAAACGTCCATTAAATTGTCACTTTCAAATCACCACCAGCTCGTAAGTTTTGTAAATTTCCGCCTCACTTACCTCTGTAGTAACAAAAGCAGAAGAACGACTTCCAGGTCACATGAATGGTAGCACTCGTTATACCGTCCGTCGTTGGAGCTGCAATGGTCAATCGACGAAGCTTCTGTCTTGGTGACGGAAGAGCTAAGATCGTGCCTGGAGAGACTTTGCTCAATCACGAGGTACGTCAGCTGAGCTCGAAGACGGACTCGCAGCAGATGCCGGAGTAGAGGTCAAGTCGGACGCCAATGAGCCAGACGAACTGGTAGATTCCGAAGCCACTGCATCATCAGATTCAGCAGCCGTCGAGGGCGACGCCTCAGCTGATCCGTTGGATGCAGAACCGGAGAGGGCATCAGAGCACGCTACCGACTTCTTGAGCAGCATGACCACATCAGCGTATTTCAGCCCCGTGCTGGTCACAGCGTCAAGAGCTGGCTTGGATTTGGGGAGCCAAAGAAAGTCGGGGTGGATGCTGTCCGAGTCGTAGACCCACTCGCCACCAATGATCTTTCCGCTGCGATCCAGCTCAAGCAGGTACGTGTAGTAGACACCCGTCGTGTACTGGCTCACTCGGCCCGACGACACGAGACCACCGTCTTCGTACGTCTCGTAGATCCACGACAGACGCATCTTGATGTACACGATGCTCTTGGCCGCAGCGTTCCACGGGTACTTCTTCAGGCCGTAGAACGTGCGGGCAGCTTCTTTCGTGGACATTGCCGTCTGTTCGTACACTTTGAAACCACGCACAGGCTGGTTCCACACCTCTGCTCCAGCTGTGACGTCCGCAACGAACGTGTGATTGAGTTTGCCCAAGATATTAGCAGCCGCAATGTGGAAGTAGGCTGGGTTCAAGTCGCGGTAGGCGTCATTCAAGTGACGGCCGTACGCGTCCTTTGAGTCGCGACCGCCATTGTACCGAGTACCCGTAAAGACCGTGGGCACCGCCGCGCCATCGTAGACGTCCGAGATCAGAGCTTTGATGTCGAGTGGCTGGAACGTCACGCCATTGTGTGTCACGGGGCACTGCGGTTCCTCTTCGATCGTCGCAGCAGGTGCCCAGGCGTGGCAGATGCCAAACCATGTCGGAATGCAGTACCCGGTGATCTTCCCCACCCGTTTGCCGCAAACGCTCCCGTCCGAGCGCGATGAGCAGTCGCTGTCCGACGAGCACTTGGGGTGCTGGTGCATCGAGTCGACGCCGTTGTCGGCCGAGACTCTGTCCATAAAGTCACGGACATGTAGGCCAAACGCCGTGGCGTATTTCTCCGCCGCACTTGGCTGGCCAGGGCTCCAGACGACGTTGATGCCGTCTTGGTACGTCGGCCAGTACGGACCAGGCCACGGCGAAGGTGAGACGACACCCATTGACGGTAACCGCGCGAGCTCCATTTCCATTGCCGTGCCGAAATAGGCCTCGAGTTTGGCAATGTCCTGGTTCGCATTGGCTTCCAGACGTCGTTTGGTCGCACTTTTTTCCACCGACGGGCGGCGAGAAGCGGCCGGTGCGTCACGCAGAATGCGGCTCGAGTTGTCCCATCCGGTCGCACAGTTGAGCTCGTCTTCAGTCGCTTCATTTTCGGTGGTTACGGCGGTCGTGGTAGGGATGCCGATGTTCTTCCTGTTGAGTGGTACATCGGATATCGTTGAAGTCGTCGTCGTCGTCGTCGTGTACACATCTTGGTCAGCTTCGGTCGCTGGGATCGCTTCAAACAGGACAGCAGTGCCCATCATTGAAGATATGGCTTCCATTGGTGCCGTCGTCATGTTGGCCAGCAGGTCCATGTAGACCACGGGGACTTTCGAGATGGTCGAGAGATCAGGTAAGGTCGGGTCCACCTCGACCGCGATGGTGCAGTCCTCGTCATTCACTTGGGCCCCCCGGCCTGGAAACTTACTGCTGATCTCGTCCGTCGTGTTGGCGGTCGTCACGGGGTCGTAATACAGCGACGTGGCCAATGTTTGCTCCAACTGCACGGCAACAAGCGCTACGGCCGCCGCAATGAGGCGCCGATGCACGGCATAGGCCATGGTCGACGAGTGAGGGTCAATGAGAGGGAAGTAATCTTCTCGAGAGCGAGAAGATTGGGGAATGGGTCTGCATCCTGCGCCGGTTTTTCAGCTCGTGACGCTGGTGCCTTTCGATAGTCGAAGCAGGACGTCCTGTCTACAACGGAATCGTTGAAAGATACCCACCGGCTGGATACGGCACATGGCGGCTGAAGTGTTTGACCCTTCCGATTGCACCATCACTCGTCGGCATTGCGGGCAATGAGGATGACTCAATCCGACGAGCGGAATCACGTAGAAGGGTGTCGGCAGTCCAGGAAGTGTGGCACTCTCTAGAGTTGACCGTTTGTGGCCGATCGACTATCGAGCGTGTGCAGCAAAGTGCTGCAACCGTGACTGCTACTTGATTCTTTACCAACATGACTCGAGCCTCTCGAAACGGTAGAAGCCAGCTACTTCATGTGCGTGGGTATTGTCCAGCGGAAGCCAGTCGGGGCAGGCAGCAAGTCACAACTGCCGGTGATCGCGTAAAGGGCATGGTCAAGGGGCTCGATGTGATGGCCCTCTCATCGTTCAGTCGTCAAGATTTGCCAGAAAATATGTGGGAAGAACTCGGCGTACCGTAGAGCGCTTTTAGAAGTTGTCCATCTCGTTACACAATCGATATAACGGATCGCTACGTATACACTGCCATAGACCTTCGATTAGCGGTTCACATTGTACGAACGAGGCTCGAAGTGTTAGCTGTCTACTAACTACAAGTTCTGTTTGGCATCTGCTACTATCGCATCGTCTTTCCTAATTTTTATTACAAAAAGAGTGCAATCTGCTGGATGGCGATACAGAGATACCCAGATGCTCGTAAAAGATGCTACAACTGCACGGAGAGGGGGCTACTTGCTTCTTGTCACAATACGAAGAGCAAGAGTAGCTCTATTTGCTGATTCTGACGTCAAGCTAACACGACATGTCCATGCTATTGTTGCATAGGTGCTACGAATGCTAAAATACAACGAACAGCGATGAACCAGCAGGTGTACGGATGTACCGATACGTAGAGCCGGTCATTTGATTGATAGTTTCTCTCTTACATCTGGCGAAGCTGTTTCGCTTGTGAAGCGAGCATGGCACAATGGATACAATCTTGGACGTAGGCAGAGCAATGCACCTTCGGCAAAACGCTTTACCGCTGTCGAATATGTGACTAGTAATGACTGCGAACGTCATTGCTAGAATCCTTCCACTCGTTGACGTCGTGGAAGAGCTACGAAATGGCAGCGTGTGTCCTCGTTGGAAGCGTTTGCCAAACTGCAAGTACGAACGATACATGTCCTATACTTGCAAATCCTTTGACACGTCCATCTTGATTATTGCTTTTGAAGTACCCACCGTCTACAATGCTTTACAAGTTGGACGCAGAAATGAATAGACAAGGCATTCGACAAAACCAGGCAAGGACACCGCTGTGTACTTTCTGCTACATGAACGAGATGCGCAAACGAGCGTATAACGATCTGGCAAGAAAGACAGCTAGTGAAGAGACAAAATCTACTCCAAAGGATGTGTCATTTTGATCGGCTTATATACACCATTTGAGAGCTCACAAGTGTTTACAAACTTCGGTAAGCTCGCGAGCCACATTATTCCGAATCAGGTCGTACTCTACGCTGGATGGAAACGCTTTTGCACAGCGATCAAATCGGTCACATCAGCCAGCCACGTTAAAAGGTAATGACACCATTTTCGGCTCACTAAAATTCATGGTGCAGTACGCTTTGTGCGATATTACCTCGTGAGAGCGTGTACCTGGAGCCAACCTGGCAATGTGTCTTCATTGCGAGGCGCTTCCGTGTACGAACGGTCAAATTCATCATGTAAACGCAATGTTACGTCCGAATGCTATACATCTTCGTGAGTCATGCAGCCACGTATACCTAACTGCTATACATCTTCAGTGCAACCTCTTGCAAATACTAGGGCGAGCAGTGTCAGCTAGCTTCGTATCTCTATATGTCTAAGATCGAGCACAAGCTGCGTTACAAGTACAGGGTGCTGTACGTCATGTAGTGTAAATTGATTGCGTGCAACAGCTTTGCATGAAGGTAATACAAGAACGCAACTAGAATCAACGTACTTCACCGTCGATTGCACATTCATTCGTTTGATTGTCGCGCTCAGACGTGTACGAAGAGGATCGTATTCAATGAACGAATGAGATAGAGATATTGTCAAAGCAAGGGATTTGAAAGTGCTCCTCCTGACTAAGTACGTCATCGGATCCACCACTACGACTGTTTGAGAGAACGATGCCATCGAAATGCCGCCAACGAAGTCGTTCTCGTAGCACATCTTCGTTTGTCAGTGCCATGGCAGATTGGCACCTCTGTACATTTTCGTCAAAGATGCGCCGCAGAAGGTGCACAAAGTGTACGACCGTTTATGCCATTCGATCCATCTGTGCAAACTCTATGCACGACCTTCTATATCTTCCTCACGGGCAGTGTTGTTCACAGAAAGCGGGCCATCCACGCCACCGCATCGTACATTGCTAGATTGGATGCACGCGTAAAGACGTAGCCGTTTCAAATATCGACACGTGACTGGAGATACGAGTGGTATTCAATTCCTCGTCGTTTTTGCGTTGTCGTATCGTCGGAGGGTGGCATTGACACGTGAACACGCATTTGATGGCGATAGCGTTGCGCGACTGCATAAACGCCACAAGCAGGAAACTCGAGGATGCGGCCATGATGGCTCATGTGGTGCGATTTCCTTCCATTTTTCTTCTGGAATATAGTGTCCTCCGTTGTTCTTCTCGTTGGGCCAACAATATAGGTCCAGACTTGTCGATAGTCACAAGGTGACGATGCCTTGATGATAGACGATTCGACAAGTGCACGTAGCACTTGTGCTCCTGTTCAGTCCGACTATACTGTATTGTGCCAAGATAAATGATCAGTCTTTGTTGCGACTGCTTGCTAGCGACTAATCGTACAAGACGTCCACCCACCGTCACGTCGAAAGACATGAGCGAAGTCAGCGTTCTGGATACGTATCAGTAACTCGGCAGCTGGGTATCGGATTATATTGCACAAATAGTATAAACGGCGCTCTTGTACATATCAATCTCTACATCTCACATACAAGCGTACTATCACTATAGCATATTTGCGGCCACTTCACCTCATATAGCTCAAATCCGGGATATAGCTGGAGCAAAAGGAAATGAATATCGTTTTAAAATGTCCTATTATTGAACGAGAAAATAAAAAATGCCCGATTTGATCACAATATTAAAGAATGTCTCAGATTCTAAAAAATAAAAAAGCCCCATATAATTAGAGAATGAAAAGTACCCCATTTAATCACGGAAAAAAATGCCCTACGTCCTAGTATGCTCAAGTTAATGTGGCACATATAAAACCCCACGTCCTTGGAACTGAAGTACAAATATAATATAATAGGATTGGCCACACCAGCAATGGAAAGCGACTACGAACAGCACCCACCTTGCAGCTTCTATAATAATTGGGGCTACTCGAGTAAGAGAGACATGGCTTAAACCGTCATCGAATTCAATAAAACGATGTACCCGTCCATTCCACTTTGTAATAAAAATAGACGACGTTACAAAGAATAAGAAGGGGAACAACAACAATAGCAACCGCAGATTCTAAAACAACAACGGGAGCAGCAGCAGTAGCATCATCAACAATAGCAACAGAACATCAACAAAACCAACATCTAAAGCTACAGCAGTAGCAGCAACAACGACGCTAGCACTTCAAACACCTGCAACTAAAACAACAATGACAAACAATAACAATAATGTCAACAACATTGGTACCGACTGACTGAGTTCACGGCCGTAGACGATCATTCGAAGACACTTAAACGTCCTCATATCCGGCGCCTTCGCCCGCAACTGGTGGCCGCAAGCGGAGCATGCCCGCGGCAGAACCCTCTTCGCGGCTTCCCTAAAAAGGCGAGAGTCGATCACAGCCGCAAAATGGGACTTTAAAATGACATAGGACGTGGGTTTTCATGTGTACCACATTAACGTGAGTGTACTAGGACGTGGGAATTGTTTTTAATATAAAAGTGCTACATATTTTTACGCAGGTTTATGATTTCAATTATCTGGGCATTTTTTTGTGATTGGGACATTTCTACATATTTTCATTATATTATACAATGCATTTTAATTGAAATTGCATAACTATCAATCACATAATTTCCCTGTTGAGACAATATGGGTGCAAAAAAATGAAGTTCTCGTCATATCAAATAAGGTAAAAATATTGAAAACTAACGAATTAACTTCAGACCTGTGGAACGATTACTACAAAGTATCTCAAGGTACGTCTCTGTAGCTTGTTACAAAGAAGTAGATCCATTGGAAATATCACATGGGCTTTGATTATTCTGAATACCTATAAAATACTTCTTTGGCATGCGTAAACCAAACGCACGATTATTGCTGGCTTGTATTCGTACAAGTGATTTAAGTGATGAGTTCAATGGACAAATTTGAAAGGACAAGTTCTACTAAGGGCTGTACACACTTTTTGTTTTTGCAAATGGGCGCATTTCAGTTTAACTTTTTTCAGACTTATAGTTACGTTCAGCGCTCATAGTAAATAATCCTTTGAATTAGCATTTATGCTCACGGAATGCATGCATACTGTTGTCATTCGAGTGCTTCGTACGTAAGGGTCACTATCAAACCAATGAGTCTGCGGACAAATAACGTGCGACTATGGTAGAACAAGTACAAGATAAACATCAACATCGTCGAAAATATATTGTTTGCAGCTTTAAGATGCTCAGGATCAATATCTGCTCCGTAAGTATAAACATCCATTGAGTTGGTTCGTTGCAAAAGTGAGTGGTGCAAAAGTCAGTACTTGTTGATGAAGCGGCATTTTGATTATCCTGTGAAGCCAAATCTATCGCGATTATCGAAACACAGTTGTGCTGATTCCAAACCAAAGCGCGTGCGAACGACCTGCTTTTAACAT